CACACCTCGCACCCTATCTCCACAGTACACGCTAGTCACAAAAACACCCCATACTGTACCAGAAACGCTCAGCGCCCTCACCTGGCAAAACCCCATCTACATGTACTGTCGTGACACTTACGTACTTCAACTCGCGACCTCAATCAACCCATCCATCTATTGTACCCTCGAGGGTACTACCGTACAGTACACTAACCTTGGCCCTTGGTACATTTTATTCGTTGCAGACACAAAAACACCCCCACCTGCCTCTACCATACTTTACATGTCGTGGTGTGCCATCGACCGTGCCCGACCGGACCGTCAACAACATCTCGGTCAGCCTACACTACACTTTTCATAACTCTCGAGTCCTCAACTCCGTGCTGTACGTACTGTTCTGTACGCCACCACAGAGTAGAGGACAAAGTTGCGACTTTCAACCCTCGCACCACCCACCACCACGCCCTCAACCTTTGCTGCCCCAACCGTTGCTCATTCCACCAACAATCCACCACCCGTATTGCCTTATGTCCCGCACCTATCCATTGGCACACCAGTACCGCCGACTGGCAAATCGTACAATGCCCATACCGTCCCTTCCGTACTAGTGACTATCCCTTCCTTACCCGTGAATTTCTCTTCCTCACCCCCCAATGTCTCTTTCTTAACCGGGAATTTGATATGTGCAAACTCATCAACGCGTGCCACCGTCGCCAGAGCTCCGTTGGGGTACGGCAGCTTGCTCCATACTGTTCCCATTCTGCCCGCAGACATGAGTAGAAATAGAGTCGGAACAAAGTCCACCCCCACCCCTTGCTCATCAAGTGCAGTTGCCCAGCAGCTCGACCAGTCGGGTTTCACCGCGGTGTATCCCCCGGCGATCCTGTAAATCAGCCGCCAGAGTATTTCATTACCGCTCTCCACGCATGTTTTCCAACTGTCGCCGTAGTATACTGGTTGTCCTTGCATGTCGTCCAGTATCTGGTTCGTGGACGTCACCTTCACAGCCCCTAGGTCGATCGACTCACTGACACTCCTCGTTCCCCCCGCACTAACGTATTCCATGAGCGCCACTTGCAATGTCCTCTCTCGACTTTCCGACACTGACGCATGGACCTGGTATATATGCTTTCCGACGTAATACACCCCCTTATACCCAACGGTCGCCCTGCGCTCCAACCGTTTCCATTTGAATATGTGATTTGCTGCAGCTCTTAGTCTCTCTTTCCTGTTCGAATACAACTCCAACTTCTCTACAGGCATGAAAGACCTCGAATACGGGCCCTCCCTTTCACACGAGCAGAAACCTGCCATATATGACGTCTGACATGCTTTATGCGGGAAAGATTTCAAGGCACCTACCATATCGTAGTACTTCATGTGGAAGAAGGGGCGAAAGTCGTCCACTCCGCGCGGAAACCCTCGGCGTGAATTCGGCGCAAGTGGAAGGCCCCTGATGAACATGAATCGCAGTACGATCGCCAGCTGACAGGGTCCATGCTCCTCATATAATTGGATCAACTGCTCAGATGGCGGGTTTGCAAAATTGGCACACTCCAGGAGTTTCGTGCACTTGGATACCATATCCTGGTGACACTCATCTGTCGTTCTGTATCTGAACGGGCCGCTTGATGGCAACCCTGCTGCTACCCAATCCCCACGTACCCAACCCACTAAAATGAACGAAGTGTTCACCAGTTCTGAGTCTTTGTGCTCCTCGGATTTCGAATGTGAGAAATGTACAAGAAAGGGAATTCTGCTATCTAGCCGGTACCGGGCCATCTTGTTCGAGGGCCGAGAGGCCATGCAGCGCGCTGCAAGATCTAACCAGCCAACGTCTCCCGGTAATATCTGAATCGGTTGGTCGATGATTACCTTTATACCTGGCCCCGAACCTGGCTTCGTCGGAACCATAGGAAGAACGCACTGCAAAAACAGTGCTGCACATCCCACGCCCGCCTTTTCTGAGAAATCGACGCCTATTGCTCGTAATACGATCAGAGCCCTAACATCATACGCCAAGTCGCCAAATTCGGTAGCCATTTCAGATATTTTCGTTGCTGCGTTGCGACCTGCCAACCAGGATACCACTGGTATAACTTGCACCGCAGATACCAGTAGTGACATTTGCAATGGAATTGGAGCACACCAATCACTTATTTGCTCACAAGAAAGGAAGTCAGAACTTATAACTACCCCTTGAATCGATTGTCGCAATCTATGCGATATCTCTTCCAAACAGTCTTTGATATATTTGAGAGATGTGCCAACAGGCCGACTCTTCTCTTCTGTGGCCTTTATCGCTTGAAAGATTAGATCATTCCATCTCCCAGCTTCGTCACGCATTTCTAATGTCGGACTTACGTCAAAGTGGCATGACTGCAGGATGGAAGCAAGGGCGCGTTCCAGCGAAACATCACGACCTTTGAAGCGAAAATCCAAGTGCTGGATTGCTCCCAACCGTTTCCAGACGTAAGCGTCACCGGCGTCCATGATGTAGTTAATGAGTCGTGTTGCTGTAGTTCTTGGTAGAGTGTAGCACTTGTTAACAAAATATGGTCCTCTCTTGCCCTCTTCCGTTTAATGTTTCAATCTCATTACTGAACTAAGGGCGTGTCTTAACAGGCTGGTTTTTGCTTTGCCGTGCCCGGTTTTGCCAGGAATACTTTTAAATTTTTAACAAATACCGTATGCTTCTTAGGCCGTTGCTTTTCTTAAACACATAAATTAAAACGTAGGAGCCACTCATAGCACGCCAAGTCACTTCTTTGGGCAAGGCAAAGCAAACCGCAGCAAAACGGGGCATGTTAGGACACACCCTAAGTATCCTTCTTTGCTGGGGCCTCTCGCCCCTGGGCCAGGCTGTCTATAGCCTCGGAGGTGCCTCGCGCACCTCCCAAGAATCCAGGTACATAGTGTCGGGAGGGATATCCAGGCCAAACCCCAAGACATACCTCAGGACATACCCTGAGACATCACCCAAATCTGTAGTTTAATAATTGGTCTGCATGTGTACCACGTGTACAAAGTAGAAATCTCCCGACAAGAGGCATTTATTCCGTCAAGTGGAGGCCGTCTTTTCTTGTGTATAAGAGGGAGGACATCACCACAAGAAAATAATCGGGTGGGGAGCAGAACGTAGAACATAATAAAATTTCTCTTCTTTGTTGTTTTTCCCTCCCCCTACGCGCGCAGCTCTCAAACACTGCCAACACATAGCTCAGGCTCAGGTAAGCATTGTTGTCGCCGCGCATTACAGCTATATCATTGTCACTTGTGGCACCCATGTCTACACCCGAATACTGCAAATAGTGCGGGTGCAAATATAGTGCGGAACGCAAATTAGTGCAGACTGCAGTAAATTGTGTTCAACCCCTACCGGAGATGGGAGAATTCCTGCAGACTACACTAATTGCAAACAGCACATGAAATAGTGGGGACTCGGAATGCAGCTCCCTTGCTGTTCTGCGCGCTTGCATCTACGCAGATGCGCAAATAGCGGTTCACTTTTACCATTTCCAGCGAATACTTGGCCTAGAAGGGCGCCAAGATTGTAAAAACCAGAAGGCAACTTCTCTAATTTTGCAGTATATAGCACGCATTCGTCTATGCATCCCCTTAAACAGATCGCCCATACACAAATCCCACCACTCGATGGCAGTATCAGCGTCTCCAATTGTCGCTGCTTTCAAACATGCTGCTCGTGTCCAGGCAAAGCGAGAGGCACAAAACGCTGAAACGGGGATCGAATCGCATGAGAGCAGTCATGCTTCCATTGCGCCTCCGTCCACAGTCTCACAACCCTTTCTTGCCTCCCCACAACCAGCAACCCCAACGCCTCCATTTCCCTCCCGTACCAGAGCCGTTCAGCGAGTACTTTCGCGATCCGACCGAATCCGGATTGTAAAATGCATGTCAGAGGAAGTGTCACGGGTCGGCTGTAAACACATAGCTTCAAAAGGTGTCCGTCAGTTCCCGCATTTGTTCCGTGGTAACGAAAAAACCAACAACTCGAAAGCAAGGCGTTTATGGAAAGCACGGGCGGAGTACCTCCAGGCAGATACAACACACCAGACACCGAGGCAAATTACAAGGGTTACAAGTTTTGGATTGAAAAGGGTGTGTCTGAAGGCCAAGCCTGGACGCAGGAGAAAGAGGGCAGCCTGAGTGGTTGCTCTGCAAAGGGACCTCGTCTAGGAGTTCGATCGCTTGCGGAAGACTGGACTTAAGTTCAACGCAAAGTTGTTAGGCGACCTGGCAAGACAGCTCATAAGATATTCCGGCAAAGATGAATATTTTTTAAATTTTTTTGACGCGTCAGCAAAGAAATATATTCAAGACATGATTTCACCACGTTGGGTACAAAGCTTTATGGAACGAAATCATATTGTCAGTCGTGCTCAAACAGGAAAATTGATGGTGACCGCTGCGAAGCAGGCATTCATCGAGAAAAAATTAGCCTTCTATCTTAGAGTTGTGCCGCGAGAGTTCAAAGCTGGTCACTTAGATGAGTATGACGTGGCAAACGTTGACGAAACATATTTTGTCGTAAATATGGATAACCATAGAACACTAGGAATTTGTGGGGATACAGAGGTTAAATACTCAGATGTTGTGTCCGGCTCGGAAGGAATGACAATAATTGTACACATTTCCGGTGGGAGGGATGCAAAACTGGAACCTCCGATGCTGGTGTTTCAAAACAAAAACAGAAGTTACCCAATTCAAAGGGTTCCTGACGACGTTGCCGGAGTTTCGTATCGTTTGGGTCCGAAAGGTTGGATGGATCGGGTGGTGATGCCCCAGTGGCTGAGGGAGAGGAATGTAATTGGAGCTCTAAGGCACGGAAGGCGCCGTGTGATTTACATGGACAACTGCAGCGGGCACGCTGAGACCACTGAAATGGTTACTGCCTTGGGGGAAATCAATACAGAAGTGAGATTTCTCCCTCCAAACTCCACTGACTTGCTCCAACCTGCTGACTCATTTGTGATACAGAAACTGAAGGATGCGTGGCGCGCACGTTGGGACCGGCATAACATGGAGCGCATTATGGAAGCCGACTTCAAGGGGTCTTCGGGCAAACTGCCTAATTCCGGGAAGCATTATTTTGTAAAGCTTGCAGCTGCAGCAGTGAGGGACGTCAACTCTCAACGAGACGGTGAAGGTTTGACGTACGCGCGCAAGGCCATGATCAGATGTGGCCTTGCTTTGAACACGAATGGGCAATGGGAGGAAAGGCAGTTGTTTCCTAAGCTGCAGAGCATTATTATCAGGTATCCAAACTATTTCGATGGTGCTCCAGTTCTCCTTAACGAGCGAATGGTTGCCGGCGAGAGCACGTAGAAATGCTGAGATATCTTTACACTATAAAAATTTTCTTTCTTCTGATTGGCCCTTAGTGACCTGTGCATTACAGACAGAATTAGACGAGACCGCACTATTTTGACTGATCTAAAATACTGCAGTCCTCACTAATTGCATATTTGGCCGAATTAGTGCGGTACCAATATTAGTGCGGGCCGCAGTAAATACTGTCACAGAGACAGCAAGTCAGCATTCCATAATACTGCGGACCGCACTATTTGCAGTATTCGGTGTAGCTCGCGCTCGCTGGAGCAGTTGACTCTCAAGTAGAACGGGTAAGAACACATTTCAGGATGCCTGCAGCTCGGGCCTGGAGAATGCATTGCTGGACCTTGCAATCTAACCGAACACCATTATTGTGACACGTGGTTGGTGTAGTATAACGACGGACGCGCGCGCGGGGAGATTATTAACAGTGCGGCCGTGCACGGTGGACACGTGGGCGGGTGTGCCCACGTGTAGGGAGCGCGCGCGTGCCGAGCGGTCGTAATCTGGCGTACGTGTACAGTAGTGCACGTGTCGGCCAAGCAGTAGTCTACCAGTATGACGCGTGTACGCTAGCACACGTGGCATCCGTGCGGTAGTCTGTAAGCAGCGCGTGTGTACAGTAGTACACACGTGTAGCTACAGCGTCCGCGCGGTAATTAGGAATTGAGGCGCTAGTTTTTTAATGGCGTACAGTACCTGGTACGCACTAGGCGGCAGGTACTGTATACTGGGACAGGTGTCCGAGGCGTCCCTCTGAGGGGTTAAGACCTGACACCCGTCCCCACCAGTAAACTGGGGTAAGCTCGCCCCCGTCCCTTTCGCGCCTATATACGTCCGTTTCGGTTGTCTATCGCGCGCGCTGGCTTCTAACCCGTTACCGGTCGCTCCCGTTCACGCACCACGGGGCGACTGCGCGTAACCGGCCAGTGAGCCACTCCCTTTTCGCGAGCTCGTCCGCTCGGTTCTATTAGCGCGTCGCGTCCACGCCGCGTGCTCCCTCGCTCAAGCGTCCGCCTCTCACCCAACCCAGGGCGGAGAGGTTTTATCCCACAGTTGGGACCGGTGTAAGTAATTGGAAGTTTAAGTTAGTAATTGTAGACCGCGCGCAAAAAGAGTATAAATGCGGTGGTTTTCGGTCGTCCTGTACGGACGAGACGGAGAGAGACATCACATCACAAAAAAAACACACACGGGTAAGACACGGGACGACGTACCCCGTTTTCGCCCTAACATGGTACTCTTGTGGAGGGCCGACGCCGACAGTCAGGCGGGTCCCGCTTCCCTGGTGTTCGATGGTAAGCACGAGGCGGATGTCGCCAAGTTCTTCTTTGTCTACGAAAACGTCGTAATGAAAGGCAAGTCCGACGAAGACAAAGCCGGAGAGCTACTGTGCTACCTGCAAGGGGAGGCTTTCGACTACTACTATGAAACGTACAGCCAAGATGGTGGACTGAACGAGGCGGCCAGCGACTACCAAGCCGTCAAGAAGGCATTGCTCGACCGTTTCGAGTCAGTCCCTGAACCGGAAGAAAACATCAGGCTCGCAGTCGCGAGTAGATTGGACGGCGACGACGTGCTCGCGTCGTTAAACGTGATGGATCACCGCTTCGAAAAAGCAGCTTTCAACCCCGAAGCCAAGTTCGGACTACTCCGGAACGCGGTCATGGAGCACACCGACGTGTCACAGTTCGTCTTGTATAGGGCCCCTACCTCGTACGGGGAGCTGAAGAAGGCCGTTAAGGACTTCGTGTCTGGCCGCAAAGCCTTTATGGCTGCACACAATGCTAGGCAAACTCAGCCTCCGGCGCCTAGGCGCATTGTACAGAGACCGGAAACACGCCAGGAGCCGGACAAGATCGAAAAGAAAGTGGACGTGCTGGCAGAACGGCTAGCAGAACTTTCTTTGTTGGTAAAGAAGAATCAGACAGCAGATCAAGGTGGCCAGGTCCGAACCCGCTCATTCTGCAAGGAACCGGGACATGGGGCCAGCCGATGCCCTTCTAATCCGCGCCGAGACACTCGTTGTTCGAATTGTGGGAAGCTTGGTCATGAAAAGGAGACATGCTGGACTAGGCTTAGAACGGCATTGCCGAGGGCAGGAGCTACGACTCCGTCCACAGCACCTGCGACAGAAGGTT